TTGGCCTGCTGTGTTCATCCAGCTCTACACCTTGTTATCTTGGGTCTTTAACAGCTGGACATCGGCTAGAGTCTCTGTAATGGGCTCTGTGGTCTCGGATACGAGCCATCACCCGGCTGCCACAGTTGTAACTGCCGCATCTGAGCTGGGGGGCCTGGGGACGCACGGGTTCCATATCTCCTGTTCCCAGTCTGACACTCCTCCAGACACTGCTGCCGGTCCTTCTGGTGTCCCTTTCACCGAGGCGTTCACTCCTTCAGGCACCCGGGCCTACAGCCTCAGCCTGGCCTGCGAGTCTGAGCCGGGAGAGTCGGGCTGGGGCCGGCTCCTCACCCACTGGGAGAACCTGGTGGAGCCAGGTCCAGCTGGTCCTGGCATTGCTGCTGCTGTCACAGGAGGCCTTCTCCTTCACCCACCACTCTCCAGGCTTGAAAGAAAAGAAAACAAAGAAAAAAAAATAGAAATAAAGAAAAAAAGAAAATGTAAAAAGAAAAGAAAAGAAAGAAAGAAAGCAGACATGGGCAGGCGAGACTCAGGTTTAACCCTGTTACTCTGTCGCCATCATGAAACACCATCTTAATGCCATTGTCTTCCCTTATTTATGCACCACTCTACACATGACTTCTATTAATATAACGTAGCATTACCTTCACAGTTTTATATTTTCTTTTACATGTGATTAAAAAGTATAATCATTCTTACAATTTCTTCCAAAGGTATCAGCATCTGTTGATAAATTGCAGATGAATGCTAAAGTGTTAAATATTATCAAGTTAAAAAATGTTTCGGCAATTATTGCATTTGAAATAACTTGTATTGATTTACTCTATTTAGATCATAGAGTCATAGAGTCATACAACATGGACATAGACTCTTTCTAAACTGAACTAGTCACATTTGCTTGTGTTTGGCCCATATCCCCTTAAACCTTTCCTGTCCATGTACCTGTCCAAATGTATTTTAAATGTCGTAATTGTACTCATCTCTACCACGTCCTCTGGGCAGCTCATTCCATACATGCACCACCCTCTGTGTGGAAGTTACCCCTTAGGTTCCTTTCAAATCTTTCCCCTCTCACCTTAAACCTATGTCCTCTAGTTCTGAACCCCGCCCCCACCATATGGAACAGACCTTGGCTATTCACCTTATCCACACCCCCTTGTGATTTTGTAAACCTCCATTAAGTCACCCCTCAACCTCCTATGCTCTAAGGAATAAGGTCCCAGCCTATCCAGCCTCTGCTTATAACTCAAACCCTCCAGTCTCGATAACGTCCTTGAAAATTTTTTTGCACTCTTTCCAGTTCAATAATATCCTTCCTATAACAGGGTGACCAGAATTGTAAGCAGCATTCCGGATGTGGTCTAACCAATGTCCTGTACAACCATAATATGATATCCCAACTCCTTTATTCAATGCTGTGACTAATGAAGGCAAGTGTGCCTATTTGGCTTCTTAACCAACCTGTCTACCTGTGATGCCACTTTCAAGGAACTACGTACCTGTGCACCTAAATCTCTCTGTTTGACAACACTCCCCAGGGCTCTACCATTAACTGTGTAAGCCCTGCCCTGGTTTGTCTTACCAAAATACAACACCTCGCATTTATCTAAATTAAACTCCACCTGCTATTCCTTGGACCACTGTCCCAGTTGATAGTTTTATTTCCAATACATAACGTATTAGAAAGAAAACGAAATAAGATTGATTTACAGCATCATAACGATGAGATTCAAACCCTAAATGACATGCCAGGGACTGGGAGCATTATTGACAGTAATTCACTCAGCAATGACAAGAAGTATTTAAGTAGATTATTTACTTCTCTGTTAGCATCAAATCAATCATTTTCTGATTCTGTACTACATATGTTCACGACAGTACTATAATTTTCAACATTAAAATAGTTTGAGGCTTTTTTTTCAATTTGTATATAAGTCAACAAAATCATCCGCAATTTTTCTTAATCTACTCCTCATTTAAACTAAAAAAATGTGATGTGCACTATTGTTGACCTTTGATAGCATAGTCATATAGAGGAATGTGAACTATTTTTTACAATGAAACTATCGTTTTGGGTGTATGCTCTGCATTGTGTGTTTATTTGAAACTGAAATCAATATCATTAAGCAGGCAAATAACTGCAAAATACTGCAGATGTGGAAAATCCAAACAAATACAGAGACACTAGAGAACTTAACAAACCTGGCAGCATTTGTGGAGAGTGAAACAGAGTTAACGTTTCAAATCCAGTATAACTTCTTCAGAAAAAGGCTGTTAAGAGGTGCAATAAAAAGACAGACCACTAGAGGGGGATGCTCTGTGAGCAAGTATAGGTTGTGGGAATAAAGTTGGAGGATATGTAAGGGAAAAAGGGATAACTTTACAAAAAATGGTACAAAGTCCAGAAAGGGGAGACAAGTGATTGTAAAATAGAGTTTTCAGCTCTCATAACGAGCATTGCCACTTTCAGTAACAGGCTCCACAAAGCTAAGCTGGAAGGGACAGTGATTAGGTCAGAATCAAAATTTATACCAGGACTACAGATTGAGGAAGACCTCAGAATTTATATAAACAAAACTGGAGCTAATTTACAGAAATCTAGTAAAAAAAGTCTAGTTGAAGAATTAAAGTCAGGAGAAACTGAATTTTTTGACAGACCAGAACTCGGTAAATAAACAACGAATTTGGCGGGAAGTGTTACAAAGTTTTCAGCCAGGGAACTTCATTGAAAAATTTGCACAGAAGAAAGTGCACTGTGTTTTGGGTCATGTAAGGTGGAAAATTGTCAAACTTGTCTGTGAAGAATTTGGGTAAACTCTGTCTTGGCGACAGAAGATAGGAAACCTCTGAAAAGGGCTAGAAGCCACCATTTCGTCCATTTAAAAAGTTAAGAAAATGCTGAAAAATATAGAAGAATACAGAGAGCTGCACAAAGATATAGTATTAAAAAGAATCAGAAATTTGAAACTTTGAAAACAGTAAATCACTGCAGAACAGCCAGTAATACAATTTAAAACTTTACTGAAGAATTTAACACAGTATTACAGCAGTACAGAGTTTAAAAGGACTGGCCAACAAAGAAAAAAATACAGTGGTTAAAATGCAAGTTCTGTAGTAATTAAATTTAAAACAAGTTTGGTACAAGCCTTAGGAACAGCAGATTTCAAACAGTATTGAATTGATGCAGATTTAAAGTGCTTTACAGTGAGAAGAATTAATAAACACATGGAGAAGAAAAAGAAGGAGACATAAGCCTTTCTCAATGATTCTAGGTCAGAGATGGGCCATACAGAAGACAAGATTGGACATCTTGGTGGAGACCATTCTTAAGATGCAGAATTGCTTCAAAATTAAATATCAAGTGCGAAGCTGAACAAGTTAACAAACTGTTGTATTCAGTGGATATGAATGTAGATGATGTTATTGGTCAACAAAATAATGAGGGGCATAGATGAGGTGAACAGCAAAAGTCTCTTCCATAAGGTGGGGGAGTTCAAAACTAGAGGGCATATTTTTAAGGTGAGAGGAGAAAGATTTAGAAGGAACCTGAGGGGCAACTTTTTCACACAGAAGGTGGTTCATATGTGGAATGAACTGCCAGAGGAAGCGGTAGATGCAGGTATGGTTTACAATATTTAAAAGATAATGTATAAGTACATGAATAGGAAAGGTTTAGAGGGATATGGGCCAAACGCAGGCAAGTGGGACCTGTTTAGTCTGGGAAACTTGGTCAGTGTGGACAAGTTGGACCAAAAGGTCTGTTTCTGTGTTCAATGCCTCTATGAGAGTATTAAAGACAGTGAGGATGTTTTAAAAGTTTTTGATACTTGCTTCAATCTAAGAACAAGTACAATTTTTGAATGAGCAAGATTTAACTGAAGAGTTCAGCTTCCTTGGGGAATCCATCAACAATTTCATTGCTGACCTCTACAGATTTATGGAAAACTGTGAATATGGAGTTCGAAATTAGAATCCATAACAACAGTGACGATTGTTGTTGGAATTCTTGACAAAACTTTATCAGATTTCTTACAGTTTGGAAAAGATTTAGTTTTGAAGAAAGATATTCAAATTGTGCTTGAAGCAGAAACCAGAAAATGACTCCAAGGGATCCTGAGACAAGATCAATGCAAACTCAAGAGAACAATAAAGTGAATTCACTTTATAAGGTATGGATACTCCAAAGAGGCATGTGATAGGCCAACTCGGAGTGTAAACCAAATAGTAGATACTAAATGTTGGTATTCATACTGCTGGACATCAAAGTCTCGTAGGCATAGATAATGACCAACCATAACAAAGGTACTTGAAACAAAAGCAGAAATTTCTGGAGTAAATCAGTAATTCTAGCATCTGTGGAGAGAAAGCAGAGTTAATGTTTTGGTTCCAGTGACCCTTCTTCAGAACTGACGGAACTCTAACTGTTCTGAAGACGGGTCATTGGACCCAAAAGATTGATTTTGTGTTCTCTCCACAAATGCTGCCAGACCTGCTAAGTTTCTCCATCATTTTACGTTTCTGGTTTCAGATTTACAGCATCTGCGGTTCTTCATTTTCTTATCACAGAGGTATATTATATTTGTAAAACTGCAGGTCACTTCCAGAAGTGCAGAGTAAATACACAGCTTCAGAACAGCAGAAATACTGAGTAAGCCACTCAGCCTTTCAAGCGTGCACTGCTATTCAACAACATCATGGCTAATTTGATTTTAACCTCAGCTCCATATTTCCATGTATTCCTGAGTTTTTTCATCCCTTGGTCATCAAGAATCTATCTACCTCTGCCTTAAAGATATTTAAAGGTTCTGCATCCATTGCCTTTTAAGGAAATGAGTTCCAAAGACTATCAATCGTCTCAGAATTAATTCCCCCCTTCAACTGAGGATTTGACTTCACCCTCAGGTGACTGTCTGTGAGGAGTTTGCACATTCTCCCCGTGTCTGCGTGGGTTTCCTCTGGGTGCTCCAGTTTCCTCCCACAGTCCAAAGATGTGCAGGCTAGGTGGACTGGCTATGCTGAATTGTTCAGTGTCCAGGGATGTACAGGCTAGATCGGTTAACCATAAAAAATGCAGGGTTACAAGGATAAGGTATGGGGTTGGGTCTGGATGGGGTGCTCTTTGGAGGGTCGGTGTGGACTTGATCAGCTGAATGGCCTGTTTCCACACTGTAGGGATTCTATGATCTCTGTCTTAAATGGGCGACCCCTCATTTTTAAACAATAACCCATGCAAAGAAGCCTGTACATTAGAGTACCCATCACCATTTTAAAAAAATATCTGCATTAGTTGAGATCCTTCCACTGGAGAAAGTACCTAAGGCATTCGAAGGGTAACTTGATAATCCAGATGCACTAGAAAACACAGTTTGTCTATGTCAATGGGAATCCTGTTAATTGTAAGCATGATACTGGAGCAAGTGTTA